CGTGTGCTTTGTTTTGTTTTGGGGGGGGGTGGGTGTTGTTTTGTTGTTTTTTTTTTGTTATAATTACTTTGTTTTAGCTTATCCTGAGCGAGGCGACTCTGACTGGGCAGCGCTCGCGTGGGGTGGCTTTGCCTTCCCTCCTCTAGCCCTGGTGGGTGCCAGAAGATAACGGGGGGAGCCGGGGGGTCACCCCCTTCACCCCTGCGTGAATCCTGTAAAGATGAGGGGTGTTGTGCAAATAAAAGATTGATCTGGCTGCTGTTGCGACGGGCTGGAGGTTCAGTTGCACGCAACAGATCCTGCTTCTGCTTGCCAGACCGTTGTTAGGTCTGGACTGCTGCGTTACCACCTATCATCAGCCTCTTATAAAATACTGCTGCTTAGTTCTGGAGGTGCACAACTGCCCAGATGCTTAAAATGTATCGGGAAAGATACTCCGAATCTAAATTAAAAGTTCATACTGAGCAGTATTTTTTGCCTGTTTTAAACATAAACCAGGAGTGCCCCCCGCCTCTTTCCCCCAGCTGTTGGCCTTGGAAATTTTAAGGTTGTACAAATAACGTACTTGGAGGATCAAGGTTCATCTTTAGTGTGTTGGAAGAGACCTCACCGAAGCCAGAGGGGATGTAAACATGTGCCTACATACTTGTAAACATGTGCTAACTTGAAACCTAAAGAGGAGTGGGACTTTCTTGAAAATTGTCAATATGGATTAATACATTAAAATTTCAGTTTGGAGGTGCCTTTGCAAATGCTTGTACAGCGGAGAACAGCCATGTCTTGGGGATGTTCCATTAACGACAGATGGCCAAGCTTGCTGTCGAAAGGCTTTTGTAACAGAGCAGTCTCGCTCAGTTTTGAAAGGGAGTCATGGTATTAAACATTTGGTGCAAATGCTTTTTGTGCTTGGCCCTTGTGGCGCAGCTTGCTTCCTTAGCAAGTGGGAATGGGGATGCATGCCGAGACTTCCCCGTCGCACAGATCACTGCATGATTCTGTGATGCCCCTGTAGGCTATTAAGCTAAAATGGGTCCTGCCTGTGACTCTGCAGCGATGGAACAGAACAACAAATGGTGTTGGTGGGTCTTCACAATTCATAGTGCAAATTTGTACTTTAATTTATGTGAGAGTGCTGCGATACAGTCTGTATCTGGTATGGTCTGGACAAGTAAGGGCAGGAGTCTGATGCCTTTACTCACGGCATGGAGCACCTTGTTTCTCATGGAATCATAATTCGGTTGGGCTGATTATGGTTAAGAATTGAAAGTCAACTCTTAAAGTGTGGATAAAAGTACAGTAGCGCGGGACGCAAGAGCTCTGTGGTAGAATTTAAGTTGAACTTTTAAAGTTGAGAATGCCTAGCTTTAAAAAATAATAAAAATTGATGCTTTTTTTTATGCTCACTCTAGGTGTTCTGAGGAGATACCTGTTGGCCTCTGGGTTTGCAAGAGTTCACAATTGCTGTCATCCAGGGTTAGGGCGTGATAAGCAAGCAGCTAGCCCCAGCCGTTCACAGTAACCTTCCCCTGATAAGTTGCTGCTGAAGTACACTTAGCCTCATGATATTTATTGAAACAAACACCTTGGGTGCAGCTATGTGTAGATTTTTGGCATTTGCAGGAGTCATGGTAATCTTCGGGATATGGATTCCAAATTTCACCTGAATACAGCTGCATAGCAGTGCAAGCAGGTATGTTTAAAGTTTCTTAATGGTGTCTTCAGCCAGTAAGATTGAGGCACATTTATAAACCAGTTTGCCACAGACAGCTGCTGGCAAACCTTTTTTGTAATGCTAAATTTGTTTTCAAAACCAAGCATGGCTCAGTGCTATTGGTGTGAGCAGAGACTTGGTCCGGCACCAAACTTGACATCTCCCGTCATGATGTAGATAGAGTGGCTCTAGGTGAAATGCTGAACTACAGAAGGCCAGGAGTTTTAAAAAAAGGTTGGTAAAATTATTTTGCTCTTTTTTCTAGGAGCAGCCTTTTCTCTAGCATTCCTTAGGCTGAACTTCCCCATGGCTGTGCAAAACAGTCTGCTGTGATTCAGGAATAAGCCCCAGTGGCTTGAGGAAAGGGGTTCTGGACCTTCTGTGCAGATTCTGCATTCTCATGCATTAATCAAGTGTTAATACAGACAATCTGGAAAGCAAGCCTTCCCTTGCCTTCACCTCTGCAAGGCTGTTTTCTCAGCAGTGAGTTCACCTGGTGGGGTTAGACCCACAGAGGCAGAGCAGGAGGAGGATCCTGGGAACTGGACTCATCCCTCCGTGGCCAGGCGTGATCAGCTCTGCTAGTGTTTATCACATGCATTGCACTGTGCAGGCACAGTGTCTCTTAGGGTGTGGCTTCTTCAGAACTTTAATCCCAAGTAATTGAAGGTTGCTAGTGAGCTAGTAATGGGCCTGCTTCCTTTTCCCCCCAAGTGCCTGTTCTCTTTTCTCTCCCCGTTGTCTGTTCCATGCTCCATGCTGGCACTGGAGTTCACCAACCCAGGTCAGTAACTGACAACAAACTCTCTTCTTTCCGCTCGGTCTTCCCCCGCCACCCACCCCCCCCCAGCATCCTGTGTTCGGAGTCTTCTCGTGGCTTTTTGAGCACTGGTGCCAGCACAAAGATGATGACAGGAGCAGAGCAGAAAGGGAACCAGACTACCACTTTGTTTAAGTAACCTCGGAGCAAGCACCCTTGGTGTTTATATAGGTCTCCTAGGCTGGGCAACACACCAAATCCTGAAACAAGTCCAGAGGCCATGGCTGACCAAACACCAGCATGTTTCTATTAGGCTGGTTATTCCTGATGACTCCTGCTGCGAGAAGGGCTAGAGTCAGGACCTACCGTGTAGTAAAACATATTTTATACACATGACATATTTTCCATGTTCATCTGAGGCAGCTAGGGACTCTACGCCCTTTCTCCAGGTCTGACATGGCAGAAATTCACTCTCTCTGAGATAGTCTTATATTTATGCTGGCTGAGGATTTTAGTCCTGAATGCTAGGAAGTTTTCTGTGTGGTTAACGAGCGCGCACCTCTGCAGTTACTGGTATTAAGACTATAAACTAAATTAAAAATACCGTGGTAAGGCTCTACTTCGGGCGTTCAAAAGATGATCACTGTAAAAAAGTTAGAGGATTCCATATTCTGTAGCTGCATGTCTTGTATTTCTATTGGTCACACAAAAGTACAGAGCAACTTGGAATAATTACCATGATTTGACCTACTGTCTGGAATACCCTGTTCTCTGTCTTTTTTGGTCTGCTCCTATAAAATAGGTGGCAGCAAAGCCAGTCCTGTCTTTTTTAGCATTTGTCACTGGGGTGGGGGAAAGCATGTGAGCTTGCCTCAAGGACTGAGAGCGAGACAGAGTAGGATGGAAAACTGTTGATGCAGCTTGCCTGGCACCACAGGCTAACACTGTGGGAAAAATGGGAACATTCAGACCTTTATTCATTGGGTTATTAGTGAAAAAGCTTGATCGTAGATGGTAAGAATGCACCTCAGTTTGAATGGCATAAATACCCGCATACAGGCTGACCTTTTTCCTCTTCTGATATTTTCTGGAGGAGTGTTGCTTAGCAGAGCTCTAATGCAATGAGATGGGTTTGTGTTGCGCTAACTTTGTTAGGTGGCAATTGGTATTAGGCAGAAAAAAAAAAGAGCAAAAGAGCCTTTCCAAGACTGTTCTGGTTTGGGCTAGATAGCAAGGTCGTTCTCCGGGAAAGAACAAACAAAGTCAGAGCCTCTGACCACACAGTTCAGAGATCGTTCTGGAGGTCCGGCTTCCTTTTTGGCAAATAGGAGGCAGGGCTGTGTGGAAGATAGAGGTGGCCAAAACCTGTTGCCATCCTACTCGCTTGGCTCCCTGAAACAATCTGCAGTTTTACTAGCCCATTTCCAAGTGAAAGGGAGCAGGCAAGCAAGCTGTGCAACTCGCTAGCGTTCTTGATTGTTAGCTTAGCGAAAGCCAAAATCAAGCCACGTGTAAGGTCTCGGGGCAGCAGCAGTGGCGGTGTAGGTGGCAAGAGCAGGACTTGGGACCAGGAGCACCTGGTTCCCAGCACTTGTGCCCACCTTCTAGCGATGGCTTGCCCCTGTTTCCTCTTGCCTGCTTTCACCATCGTTACAGCAATGACATGACAAAAGCTTATACTCTTCATGGTAGAAGTGAAAGTGTGTTTTTTCTCACCTGCAGCAGGTAACACATCTTTTTAAAGACTGCAGGCTGCCTTGCTAGGGTCAGCAACCTGGGTTTAAGTCCTGTTTTTTCAGATGTGGCCTCTGCTTTTCCAGGTGAATTAAAAAGAAACAGGCAAATTATCATACTTGTTCTTTTGTCCGAGAGCTGTATTCATGGGGAATATATTGATATTCTAGGGATCTGTTGATGCCTTTTTTTCCCCCTCTATTGTAATTATGCTCCCATAACAAGAGTTTGTCCCAAAGCAGAGTTAGGACAAAATTCACGTGGATTAAAACCCCCCAGGCTCCCCTCATTCAAACAAAGCAGCACCAACCTTTTCTGAGAGCAGACGCACGGATGTTTCATTCTGATAGTACAGGAGTCAAAGCGCAAAATCTACTCCTCCCCTAAATGAAATGTTCCTATTTAATAAACTAAATTGATCCTGCATTTAAACTTTTGTTCTACCAATGGGAAATGTGCTTTTTATCTTTGTTTTGAAGTATTTTGGACATTTTAATTGTTCGTTATCCTATTAAATCAGAGTAGCCTTCCCAGCCCTCTCAAACCTATATTTAAATATCCATCCTAAAGTAAGCAATAAGAGTTTTTCTACTGTCTTTGGAGAGATCTGGGCTCACTTAACTTCTTCTAGCAAACTGATACCGTGACCTGTACACCCTCTGTTTCCAGATTTCTTCAGATCTTATTTTTCCCAGCTTTTTTTTTTTTGTTTTTTTTGTTCTGCTGATTGCCGAGTGTCCCAGAGCTTCATTCCTGGTTCTTGTGAAATGCTTTTAATATTCCACACCAGTACATCTGTCTTCCCAGTTGTGTTTGTATATACAACCGGACATAACTGCAGTCAGCTGGATTGTCTGTGGGAATATGCTGTGACTCCAGTGGAACTTTCTAATCACCATTAAGGATATCCGAAGCTCAACAAAAAAATTTTATGTTTTGGATCCCATATCCATTAAAAACTTGCAAAACTTTCATTTACATTTCTCTCTTGCGAGCTTACTGCTTTTCCTTTTGGCATTTCGTGCCACTTCTGTGCTTACCTGAAGCGTTTTCTATTCCAAGTCGCTTGGTTGAAACGGAGCTGGCCGCAGCTCTTCACCTCTGTGCTTGGTCCCTTGAAACTTTCGGAGCAAACTTGACGGAGCTCTGCCCTCAATCCTGCTGCATCATGAGATGTAGCGTGGGACATGGACACATTCCGTCATCCCTCTTGCTCAGATCTGCCCGTGCATGGCGTAGCCATACGTTACCCCGCCGTGTGGCTCTGGTCGCTGTCACGCTGACCCCAAGGGCTGAACCTTCAGCAGTGGGGGTAGGTGTGGGTTGTACAGCGGGAGCGAAAGAGGGTGAAGCATGTGGCACAGCGGTTCCCGCCGTGGATGGGGCAGAGCGGGGAGGCTGGCACGCGCGTCCTGGCAGTGTTCCCGGCTGGCTGCCCTGCGCCGCGCCTGCCGCAGCAGGCACCCGCGCTTCCTTCTTGCCACGTGTGCCAATTATTTTCATATTCTTCTATGAACTGCAGAGATAAGTGGTTATTGAACTCCCTTTTGGTTGCCAAGAGTGATCAGAAATTCATTCCTCTTTGTGGCTGACGCTTGCTGCTTTCAGAAGTGCTCGGGCATGTTTTATCGCTTCGTCGAGCTACTGGCTTCCAAATCTGCAGGGTTATGGTAGCTGGAGGGGGGGCGAGGTCTGCTGTAGGCTTTAAAGCCTCAAACTCTGCTCAGGCTGACAATGGCTGCTGAATACTGCCTTTGCCAGTTCTCTGCTTTGTTTTGACAATGTCGTTTCCTCTCATTGTCCTAGGGGCTTTTTCTTGGCTGATGTTTTTCTGCATAGTTCAGGGAACTTTTTGTTTCATCTGCCGTTTACGGACACCTATGCCAGAGATACCCGTGCAGTTGTGCAGATACCAAGCTTAACAGGCAGCTTATTCTTTACACCAGTGAATCTCAAAGGCACCACTGGGATGTTTTCTACAGTGTAAGCTGTGTTGTGTTCTGCTCTGTCTGCTGGTTTATAGCACGATGGTCCCAAATGGCAAAGATGAAGAGGAAAATAACATTAAAGTTTCTTTTTATGTTACAGGGCAGGCATACAGCTCAAACTGCAGTTTAATCTTGTACTGGGCACAGTTTGTGTCCTTGTCTTCTCCCAGGATGAAGAGCAAGTTACAAAAACAAGATGTAGGAGAAAACATTCCTTTGAAAAGGAAGAACCCTTACGAACCTGATGGCAAAGCTGCAAGGCTTGGCAGCTTTGCTCAATAGAAGATACAAGCGTGCCTCTCTGAGCTTATGGATTTCTTTTCCTAAAAATTGACGAGGCTGATGACTTTCTTGGGGGACCCTGTCTTCCTTCTCGCCCTTGAGGTTGCCACCAAGCAGAAAAGTACCTTCTGCAACGTGAAGTGCTTCACCCTTTTTTGCTAGTTGCAAAGATAATGTCCTTAAACAGGATGCGTCATCAGCTGGAAAAAGTGACT